CACCCGTGATACATATAGGTGCTGTAGTGAGAAGAAAACTGCTCCACAGTGCAACTGCAGCCAGTGTGGCCTGCTGGGGATCAAGAGCGAAGGCTTTCAATATTGACTTATCAATCACAGTTGACCTGTTGGTTACCTTTGGTTTAGAGACCAACTATACAAGSAGTCATTGTATTAGATGGTTGATCCACATGTTAGCATAGTAATACGCTAAACCAAGATGGTGAACATGGAAAACATTATAGCTGCTAAACATGTGCATGTAGGCCTTGTCTTTGTGAGCATGTGAGCCTGCTAATGTTCACACATATCACACGTTAACAGGCAGGAAAGGATCAGAAGCATCTTTTTACTAATGATCCTTTTCTTCTTATTAACTGATTATTTTGATGTTTCTCCCTGAAATCCATTAGACTATATGAAATCAGCCTCTATGTTCAGCACAGGGAATTAAATACACTTGTGCCAATCTAACTGTCTTTCCCATTACCTCTTTTTTGCACTGTTACCTTACCTCACTTTATGTCATATGTTTATATTGTTATATCTTTACACTGGTTGCACTGTTATTGGAGTGGTTTTTAAATCTCATTGTACATGTGTATAGTGACAATAAAGGCATTCTATCTATCTAGTTGTAGAGGGACATTCTTTCAGTTCCTTAAACTCAATCTATGATGGTTATCTCCCTATCCTTTATTCATCAGCACATGTAATGTCACCAAACTGGATCAAGCTCAAGTCATTCAAGTGAAGCAACTGACGTAAATGTGTTTTATTGAAGTAAAGGTTAGCACAGTTTGAACACTTTGGAACGTCGAGGACCGAATTATACGAGTCATAGAATGGTAGAGCATATACCTCCACCAAGGCTCAACTGTCCCTTCAATTCAATCTGTACCAAATTTCACACCTCATTCTGAAGAACAGGTCAGGCTGGGGCGTTGCACCTGGCAACAATGTTAATGATACTGTCAAATCTTGCCACGTTGCATTCTGTCAGTAGTTCCATCTCAATTATAAATCTTGCTATACAAACAGCAGTGCTAAGATGTGACAGCTCAGGTGTTTCTGCTGCAACTGTTGGTCTTGTTCATTTATGCTGCACGTTGCTGTTCTTCCTGTTGGTCTTGAAACAGCTCATACCCTACATTGCGAAACGTCTCTTTTAGAGCAGTGATAGTACAGATTTGGTCATCTTTGTCGTAACAAATCACTTTGAGCTGCATTTTATGTATGAAAGGTGCTGTATAAATAAAATGTATTATTATAATAGTATTATCTTGAAAGGTTTACATTTGGATCAGAGTGATTCAATTAATCTTGCTTTGGAAAACGCGGCATTAAAACATCCTGGATAGCAAAGCAAGGGATTTCCAAATCTGATCATTGATGAACCACTGAGCCCTGGAGACAATGAATGTGTGTGTAACACTTCCTGACCTTCTATCCAAAGGTTGAGATATTTTGGTCAGGACACATGTGGTGGACTGACCCAGTGTGTGGCGGCTGCAGACGCTACAGCTCCACTCTGGTACCTGTATATAGGGCCTCGTCCTCACCGGGCCCAGTACAGTGTGTGGTTTGAGGCCAAAGCCGCCACGGGCCCGAGTCCTGATAAATGTGGGGCCRGTTCTACGTGCTCTGTGCCAGTCACGCTCATCCGGTGTGCTCCTTATGATTTTTGTTTTTGTTTTCTTCATACATGTGACATGTTTTTGCACAACCTGGATGAGCTGTGATACAATCGTGTGCATCAGCACTCAGTGAACAAATGTATCCTCAAACAAACCTAGATAAAGCAACAAGAGTCCTCAATGTTGCAGAACAGGACAGGATTTCCTGTCAGACTGGATTGTGTGGAGAGAAACAACAGTAGCGTGATAATGTGACCTCAGCAGTAGGTTTAAAACATTCAGTTCCCCCTGTGCTCATTGTCCTATCTCATGTATTTGAACGTGTTGTGAATGAAATGAACTGCCACCACAATATATTTCAAGCAGGAGGTGAACACATGATTGATCGACTTCAGATTTGTAAAATGTTTTGCTGTTTTTTAAGTGTTTGTCATTCTCTGCTCATTRAGAAGAGTTTAAAACCACAGCCTTCACTCAGGAGCAAAACTCAGATTAATCAGTGCATTCCTCTAATAAGGCTCAACAGTGTTTTAATGAAACCACATTCAAATTCACTAGATCCATTTTTTTTATGGATCTGCACCAAATCAGGTGAGACTTGTAAGTTTTACACCCAATCCAATCAGCAGTGAGTTTTTCATCACGCATCACCTCCTCAGTGTGACTGATTACAGTAACTCTCTATATTCTCCTGCTGGTAATATCACATGTAGTTTTTTCTAGGACTTTAAGGACTTGGTAAGTGACTAGTTAAAGGGAAAAAATGAATATTCACTCACCATCTACTCACAACTAGGTCAATGAAGGGGCGGGTGAAGTGTTTGACTCCACACAACATTTGGGGGTCTCATTGGTAAACAGCTTTGCTGCAATTGAACTAACTAGTGACCACGTCTTCAAACATAACAACTACAGACAGAAAACATAAAATGCCTCCTTACTGCTCCTGTTATGTCCATGTGTCTGTAAGCCCTGACATTCAAAGTCGACTCAAACATTTACATCATGTATTTAGTCTAAATGTGTGTGTGTGTGTGTGTGTGTGTGTGTGTGTGAGAGATGCATTTGTCCTTTCATGTGTCATGAAAACCACTGGCAGAGAGGTTGCTATGCCTTTGTTGTACAATGCTTTTTTCATTTTGTTGTTGGCTTTTCCAGGGAATCTGGCTGAGTTAGTTTTCACCTCCT